GGAGGCAAGGCTCCTGGTGAAAAGGCCCATCCCATTCCAAGCGCATGCCCAGCTGGAAGTCGCTAAGAGCTGTGTTCCTGAGCAATGTAGTCCATGAGTCAGGCCTGACACCTTCAGGACAGCTGGTGTCTGCTAAGCCACCCTGGCTCTGCCATAATCTGGGGGTGACAAGTTCAAGATCAAGGCACCAGCAGGGCCACACTTCCTGGGAGACTCTGGGGAAGAAGTCGGTTCTTTGTTTCTTGCAGCTTCTGAGGGGCTACCAGCGTTGAGGCTGCTGTATCACTGGAATCCCAGCCTCCTCTTCAGCCTGCCTGACTCTCTCTGTTGCTGTGATAAGATAATCTGACATAAAGCAAGTGAGAGGGGTGAAGGATTTGTCCCGACTCAGGGTTCTAGAGGGACACAGTCTGCCATGGCAGGCGAGGCGTGGCAGCAGGGAGAGAGCAGCCTGGCAGTCAGGAAACAGCATTTCATTCCCACAGAGAAGAGGGAGAAAGAGAGAACAGGAAGTGGGCCGGGCTACACAGCTTTAAGGACCGCCCTGTCAAAGCTCCACTTCCTAAAGATTCCATAACCTCCCCCAGACAGTGCCACCAATGGGGGACCAAATGTCCAAACACATGAGCCTGTGCTGGACAGTTCTCACTCAAACCTGGACACACACACAAAGCTCGGGAGATGGACAGATGTGCATAGAAGACCTCGGCTGAGAATGGCCAGTTTCTGAAACTGCCCAGTGAAGACAGCAAAAGAAAATGCCACTCCTGGTCTTGAGCCTTTCCTAAGAGAGAGGAACAGTTTAGCTGCAGGAGGAATATTCCCTCTGAAGAGAGGCCAGCCCTGAGAATTAAAGTGAGCTAGCCTTGCTAAACTTGTACCTTAAAGTCTTCTTTTCCTCTCACTTTGCCACAAATGAAGATCCTGTGACAGACTTAGCACAGCTGGCGGGCAGCCATTGGATGCAACTGTGAAGAAAGAGAATTGGAAGGGGAAACCACTTGAGTCTAGGAACTGGGAGAGCCTCTCTCACCGTGTAACCTCTCTCACCTGTGTCACAGGTGACGCCTGCTGCAGCCTCCAGGGTTGCAGGCAGAACCCCTTAGGACCAGCTGATATCCGAGGATTCCCATCACTCCCTCTGCCTTCTTCCCACTCAGTCACCAACTCACCCTTTGTCTGCACCCCTGCCTCTCACACATGACTGCTCCGACCATAATCCACACACACTTTCCCAGCAGTCTTTGCTCCTTCAGTGTGTGCTCAGCCTCACCTGTCAGCATCAGCATATGGACCCTACGGTACCAAGCCCTATGCCCTTCAGAGCCCTCTCTCTCTGTTCCAAGTAGCTAATGCAGGGTTATGCAAGCCGCATCCACTTCCTAAGCTGTTCTTTCTCATCTTCCTGCACATCCACCTACTGCCCTGATTCTCCAATGGCCTTGTTAGGTACATGCTATTCCACCCTCCTACTGAAGATTGGAAAGTTGAGGCCCTTGAACACTGCGGAGCTCACTGAAGTCTACGCAGCCCACAGGCATTGAGGCAAGGTCTTGAACTCAGGTCCTCTGACTCTAGGATGACTCTCATCTATACCCCACTATCCAAGTCCCCCTAGGGAGTGTACTGATGCTGGACAAATGTCCAGTATCATGTGACTAAAGGTGTCACAGACATAGTCCAACCTTGGTGGTAAAACTGTACATTGTACTAATTTTTCTTTGGTTTCTTGTCTATGTGTCCTGTTATGAACATGCAATACTTTCACAGAGGAAAATCGATTTCTAAAACTGCACAAGAAGATCTAGCCCTGCATTACTATATGCTTCCAAATCTCAGACAGGCCCTGGGGGAGGGACGTCCTCCTGCAGCCATCTCACGCCCAGCTGGGTCTTCACCCACACCCTGACCAGCTCCCTAGAAGGGGTGCAGGAGAGGAAGCATCATAGGCACAGCTTTGAGCATCCCACTCTGTCTGCAGCAGGCATTAAGGGGAACCCCAGCAGAGTTCTTGTGGGTGCTTTTCTTCTTCACACGCAATCACTCACAGAGTCCTGGTGACTGATGCTCTGCGCAGAAATTTCTCTTTCAGGCCCAAGACTGAGAAACAGCCCATCCTGGCCAGAACATCCCCTGCCAGAAGACTGATGCCTGCCCCCCCTGACCAGAGCTGGAAAAAAACCTCCAGTTCTGTGTATGAGCTGCCTGGGGAGCCATTCCAAGAGAACACAGGACAATAATGTTTGCTGCTCATAACAGGTATAGGCAGTGCCCAGCGACTTCCCATCTCTAAGGAGCCACATCAGCCTCAAGGCAGAGAAGCCTGGGGAAGAATGACAATGCTCCATGCACCCTTGACAATTCATCTTTGTGGCTCACAACCCCAGAAGCATCTGCCTGTCCTAGCAGGGAAATCTTTCTAATGGATCCTAAAAGCTTTCTGCTGCCCATGGTGGTGTCTGCCTTGAGCAAGTCTCACCCAGATTTCCAAGAACCAGGGAATCTTTTCCTGCCACAGGGCCATTGTACAAACTGAGCCCTCTGCTTGGAACACTCTTCTTAGAGCACGCTTTTGGGACTCAGCCTGGAAACAACTCTCTATGCTAAGGAGATCAGGTCATAAAGTGCTGCATCCCCAGGCCCAAAGTCTCACACCCAAAATGATGGAAGTGGCCCAGTGTTAATGGTGGACAGCCATTGGAACTGGCTTCTGGGATGTTGTGATAACAGGGATATGAAGGGCACTGGATCAGACCAGGTGATGACCTGGTGGTCTTGGGAAACAGCTCTCCGTGGGAGCTGCTTGTGCTGGTGTAGACTCCAGCGTTCTCATTGACTTCCAGGAGCCCCTGAGTCCCAGGTCAAGGTCCATCCTTCTGCCTGTACTTCCTGCATGGACTCACACATTCTCCCCAGGCCCAAGGTCCCACCTCCCTCCTCTCACAGCTGGCCTTCTGGATCTGGCCCTGTGGTCCCTTGCTGTGCAAAGGACAACAGTGGTGGCTCCTCTCCTAAGCAAACAGGAGAGACTCAGGACCCCAGCAAGGGGTGAAACCTGTAGATCCCTGTGAGTGCCTGTCACCAGTCACCATCCTCATGGTGGTGAGCTGTCCCTGTCACATCCTGTCCTCCCACCCGCAATCTGGGCGCTGGCATGCGAGCCTGTAGTTTACTTGTTGCAGGCTGACAGGTGGGGCTGGTGTGGTATCAAAGCTGGAGTCAGAGATGGGAGCTTCAACTACCCCTACCTGTGTGGGCAGTGCGAGACCATCTCTCTGACTGGTCTCAGGGTAAGCACGGAGTGCATGGGCCCTCCATTGGCTCTGCCCAATCTCAGTAGAGACCACCAGCCTTTGTCCAGTCTCTGCCCTGGCCCCATAAAAACCCCGGACAAGGAAAGTCAACAGCTCTTTTCTCTCTTGGGAACTCCTGCCAACTCTCTTACCTTTCCTCAGCATCTCACTTTTCTATCATAATTGTTAAGAAAGCCTGCTCCCACTTTGCACACACTTACAAAATCCTCGGCAAGCTCGGAGTCACTGTCCCAGGTTGATCTTTGATGACAGTGAGTGTTCAATATCTTAGTCTTGGGGTCATGTAGCACTAGACCATGAACAGCATGTGCTCTTAACCACCTCGACATCTTTGCAGCCCCCCAACAATCTTTGCATTGAAATGATTAATGTGTATAAACAAGTTGATCCTATGGGGGCAGAAATCATTGCTCCATAAAGCTACATTTGTGTAAAAACTGCTTGCACATAGTAGGTCCTCAACAGAGAGAGGTAGCTATTACCACCTCTCACAGAAATGTTGACAGGTTTATGAAGTGGCAGTCCCAATAAAAATTCTTTATTGTACATACATAAAAAGAAATCACCTAAGACCAAAAAAAACAAAAAAAACAAAATTAATCCCCTGGAAATACCACTTCATAACCCTGTTGAGAAATATGTATTTCTTGTACAATAAAAAGAGAACGAGAAAAATTCAATTCCATTAAAATATCACTGTAGAAGAAGATCTTATTGTTGTGGAGGTGGTTTTAATTTTCTCCCTTTCACTTACCCTCAATTTTGTAGCAACGAATACACACTACTTGGATAACATAGCGGAGGACTGTCTTCATAAATAGTTTGCTTTATACTCAACCCTGGGCTAGACACGATGAGGAAGAGGTTGTTCCCTGGACTCTTTCCACAAGGAACGAACCCTAATGGATAAAGGACCACTCTGGAAACGTGAAGACCAAACCAAGAACAAATGTATTGCCCCGAGGGGCTGGAGGACCCCAAGGAGGAGGAGGAGCCTGAGGACCCTGTCCTACAGCAGCAAGACAATGCAGAGCCTTCATTCTTCTCACAGATATGAACTGAACCCCCCCAGCTGTGCCTGTCCCTCCCGGGGATAGGGTCAGGGGGTGGAAGTCATTTTTAGGGCCATGGATACCAAAAGCAAACTATCCTAATTTATGTCTTTGGGCAAAAGATCCTTGACCTGCCCTGACTGAAGGCCTGGAGTGTCAGAAGGGAGCATGGTCTTGTTATCTCTTCTAAATGACCGCCCTGCCTGGAAGCAATACAGAAGGAGGTGACCGAAGCAGAGAACAGACACCTGGACACTTTGACGTGCCCAGCTCATCATCCTCCTCTTTATGCCTCATCCCAGTCTCTGCCATAAATCCTATTAAAAGACTGTCGGTTGGATGGTGGCCAGTGTGCAGAGGCCTCCTCCTACTGTCCAGGGGCTCTGTCTCCTTTCCTAAGCTCCTACCCGTGCATCTATAATAAAACTCCTTTCCAAACTCAGCATTTGTCCATGAAGTTCAATCTTCAAATCTGAGAGAGGAGAATCGACTCAGTGGTGGTTTGATGTGACTGAGGGCGTCTAGTATCCTAACTCCCGAGTTAGAGCCCCCTGTGTAGTGGCATCTCCCCTTGCCAGTAAACTTGTAGTAGTGGCCACACCCCTTGGGCGTGGTTTGGGGTGCAGATGTGACCACTTTAAGGTTGAGAGACTGCTGGCCCAGGAAGGGCAGAGACTGCATCTTCTGGAGCAGGGAGGCCGCAGCGTTATTTACTCTCATCTGGGTAAGTGCTTCCCCATTTATCATTCATCTTGTGTCTGGTGAACTGATTTAAACCCCGCCTTCACCCCTAAGCCCAATAAAGGAAGCCTCTGTGTTACTCAAAGACACCCCACATCCCCTTATCACTAGGTGCCACCGTGTGTGGTGACAGAGTTCCATGAGAAAGGAGGAAGTCTCTGGACCCTGCAGTGTGCCAGGCTGGGCAGGGTTTGCACTGCCTGCCGTATCTGAGCTGAACACAGTCAGCACTTACCGTGTTGTACCAGAGCCCTGGGAGAGTAGGGAGCTTCACTCCCTGCCACACAGACCTGGTCCATTGCTGGGGAAAGCAAGTTAGAGAAGGCCCAGAGCTACAACCCCTGACCTGCTCTCCGGCTTGCTCCTGAGTAAATCCCTCCCTTCTCTGATGCCAGCTCTACAACTTCTAGACTCCAGCGGAGCTCTGCCTGTAACCCTGCTGTGTAACACAGGTCAAGCGCTTGAGCCTATGGAAGCCCCCGGGCTCCTCTTCTGAGCAAATGGGTAAGAGGACTGCACCTAACTCAGAAAGGTTTTGTGTTTCAGATTTGACAGAGCAACTCCCGAAAAGATCCTAACAAGGCGCCCTTCACACGTTTGGTTGGAGGAATGGGAACTCTAATTGAAGCCTGCGTCTGAATCTATTGCGAACGGCTCTAGGGATCCGAAGTTATGAAACATCACAAGCCGGAAGAGAGGAGAAATGAGCAGCCCCTGTTCAGCGAGCAAAGGGAGGCTCCAGAGCGGACCCTGTGCAGACAAAAGATTCCAACCACAGCGGCTCCCTAGCTCCTATACTAGAGACGGCACTGCCACCTGCTGGCAAAAAGGAGCTTTGCAAGAAGGCGCTTTCCCAGCTGGCCGGGATGAAAAACAAATGTCTAATCCCAGGAGACTGGACTCAGGTGGGAGCCCCAGAGATGAGGGCATGATCAATGGAAAATACTGGTGGATGATTCTGGGATTCTAGCGCTATAAAAACTCATTTCAGATTCCTGGTTTTAAATAGCAGCTGCACACTGATTAACTTCTCAGGCTGCCATTTTCTGGTCCAGGAAACTTCTATTCTAGTTGTGTTTCTGTTGTAATAAAATACTCAACAAAAAGCAACTTAGGAAGGAAACACTCACTTGGTTTAAGATTCTGGGTTCCACTATTGAGGGGAGGTGAAGGCAGGAACGTTAATCACTGTATCCACAGCCAAGAGCAGGAGAGAATAAACACACAGGTTCTTGCTCGATTGCTCCCAGCTAGCTTTCTTCTCTTACATGGTCATGGCCCCAGCCTAGGGGATGGTGACACCCACAATGGACTGTGTCTTCTTACATCAGTTAATAATCGAGACAATCCCCCAGATGCATGCCCACAGGCCAATATCTAGATATTGCCTCATTAATTTCTCATGTGATTCCATTTTGTGTCAAGCTGACAATTAAGCAGCAACAACAAGAAGCCTGGAGTAAAGGACTCATTTCTATCACACAGAAGAAATCCAGACCAGAGACTATGTGTAAGTGGAGACCCTCGTTATTCCCACACTGCAAGCTTTTATACATGCTGCAAGTAAAAGCCTGGGCCATGAGGTGGCTCAATGACAATGTCTCCCATATGGAATAGATGTCTGAATTCTTGGTCTCCTGTTGATGGAGCTGTTTGGGGAGGATTAGGAAGTGTAGCCTTTTTGGAGGGTATGTGTCACTGGGGGCAGACTTTGAAGTTTCAAAAACCTTCCCAGTTAGTGCTCTCAGACTCTCTCTCTCTCCCTCTCTCTCCGTCCCTCTCTCTCTCTCTTTCTCTCCCTCTCTCTCTCTCCTCTCTGTCTCCTCTCTCCCTCTCTCCCCTCTCTCTCCCCTCTCCCCCCTCTTTCTCTCCCTCTCTCTCCCCCCTCTCTCTCTCCTCTTTCTCCCACCCTCCCTTCCTCCCTCCCTCCCTCCTTCATCTCCTCATCTCCTCTGGATCCCTAAGCACACCTTGGCATATACTACTGACTCATATATTCCCATCCCCTAGAACATCTGTGAACACCCTCCAGTTCTGGGCAGCTCAGCTTTATTCTCAACTTCTTCAGGAGCCCCCCCCCCCACAGCTGTCAGTGCTGTGACCTACAAGTTCAGATGGTGCTTGCTCAAAGAAAGTTCCATCCTAGAGGAATGAACTTTGACGTGTGGTCACAGTGTCCAGAGTTAAGGCCCTGAGAAGCCATGTCAGAAAGACCATATCTCAGCCTGGCTGTGGTGGGCTAATCTTACTAGGATCGTGGCCATGTTAAGAAATGCCTTGAGTACTGGCGACAGAAACCTCTGGACACATCTGTGAGGGAGTTTCCAGACAGTTTAACTTGGCAATGGGGGAGACCCACCCTGAAAGTGGGCAGCACTGCTCCATGGTCTGGTTGGCATGATAGGTGAATAAAATGGGGGAAAGAGGAAGTCAGCTGAGCACTTCATTGGTCTCTTTCTGCTTCCTGATCCTCCCAGAGGTGACCAAAAAGCATCCCACGCCTGCCACCAGAGTCACAAGCAGTTCCTGCCTTCCCACTGTGATGGAGTGGACCAAAAACCATGACCAGGATAAGCCCCTCCTCCTCACACGGCTTCTCATCGGGTGTAGCCCTGGTGGCGGGAAAGGAGAAGCACCGGTGGGGCTTCCCACACTTACAAAAAATTGGGGGGGGCTTTTTATTTTCTAGTAAAATCTATTTAACATCCCCAAAACTGGTGTTCAGTGAGCCACGCTAAGGAAACGGGAGGAGCTGGCTGTCTGGGCAGTAGCTATGACGTCAGGAGACCACACCTTTCCCTCACCTTCGGTTCCACTCCTGTGAAAAACATCTGCATGTCCTAGGAAGTACAGCTAAGATAGAGGGAAGGGAGGAGTTCCCTGGTAGAATTTAAGGGCACAGCCAGCACCTGGGATGGGAGGCATCACAGCCATCATTTACTGAAGGTGTGGGCATCTGTACACTCCTTTATTTCTCCGGGCCCCACTCCTGTCCTGTCAACAGGGTGACAATGGATGAGTCACAAGTTAACAAAGTGCTCGGGTCAGTTCCTGAAAGACTCAGAGCCCCCTAATAAATAGCCGTGTGTGTGTGTGTGTGTGTGTGTGTGTGTGTGTGTGTGTGTGTGTGTTTGCATAGATGTGGAGGCCAAAAGTCAACCCCAGGTGTTGTTCCAAATTTCACAAAAGAAACAGTAATAGAAATAAAACCACAGATCACCCACACCACAGAGAGAGTGGGGGACATCAATACCCCACTCTTACCAATGGATAAGAACAAACACTGAACATAAAAACACTGAGGATAAATGACGTCATAAATCAAATGGAGCTAAGACACAGACAAAGCACTTCACTCAAACACAGAAGAACCCACACAGGCTTAAATGGCAGCCTATAGAACTTCCTCCAAAACAGACCACACATTAGGATATGAAACAGGTCTCAACAACTATAAGTAAAATAATACCCTCTGTTCTATCTGACGACAATGGAATAAAGCTGGACAGAGATAACTGGGACAGGAAAGAAATTTTAGAAGTCCTAGAGTGAATGAAAATGAAAACACAACATACACAAATCTATGTGACACAGTGAAGATAGTCCTAAGATTAGGAAAGTTTAAAGCGCTAAGTGTCTACAGCAAAAAATTTTTAAATCTCAAATTAATAACTGAATGCTGCAGCTGAAAGAACAAACAGCACCTAAAACAAGTAGATAGTAAAGGGACTGGAGGGACTGCTCAGCGGCTAAGAGCACTTGCTGCTCTTGAAGAGGACCCAGGTCTGGTTCCCAGCACCCACATGGTGTCTCCTAACTCAAAAAAGCCCAGGGCCAGATGGATTCAGAGAAGACTTCTACTCAAAAGAACTTCAAAAGGGAACTAACACTAATATGCCTCAAATGATTCCATAAAATAGAAAATGAAGAGCATTTCCAAACTCTTTTTATGAGACTAGTATTACCCCATACCAAAACCACACAAAGACCAACAAACTAGAAATTATAGGATATATCTTGATGTGTTCTGGACCACTAAGGAAAATGGATGAAAAAAAAGAGAACAAAAGTCCCCAAGTAAGTGAGGAGGGTTATGTGAGGTTACGTGATCAGAAGCCCAGACCCATGAACAGCTGCAATCGTAGGATGTGCTCTGGCCGTGGAATCCCAGAGCACAGATGTGCCAATTAATTCTACCTAACCAAAGGCAGTTATTGTCTTCTCAAGGCCTCGTCTTATAACTTTGTATGGTAAGCTTGTATGTTATAACTATGTATAAAGACTTACTGTGCTAAGTAATCTCTGTAGCTATGGGAACCCTACTGAGACTTGCAGTATCAGGCTTGTCCCCCCTTCTTCTCAAGGAATTCTCTTGCTGATAACCTTTGGTATGCTAAGTTATCTCTGTAACCATGGGAACCCTGTGGACTGGGACATGCAGAATCCAGACCTCCCCCCCCCCCGCTCCCCCCAGCCTCCTTTATTCCTTAAAAGTGCCTTACTTTTGCAGTTCAGGGTTTCAACTCTCCTGACAGAGTTGAGCCCTAGCTAGCTGATTTTCTGGAAATAAACAGACCTTCTTATACTTGCATTCAATGTCGTTAAGCTCCTTGAAGCCTTGGGGTCCTCTCTGGGTGGACACAACAATCTCTGATGAGCATAAATACAAAAACTCTCAATAAAATATCTCCAAGCCAAATTCAAGAACACATTTTAAAATATTGTCTATTATCCACCATGATCAAGTTGGTTTCATCCAAGAAACACAGGGATGGTTCAGTATAGGTAAATCAATAAACATAATCTACCACATAAACAGACTTAAGGACAAAAACTTCATTATATGCAGAAAACACCTTGGACAAAAATCACCATCCCTTCACAATAAAAGTCCTAGAGAAACTAGAGATAGCGATGCTAGGAATGTACCTCAACATAATAAAGGCAATTTACACCAAGCCCACAGCCAATATCACTCTAAATGCAGGGAAAGAATTCCAAGTATCGTTACTTGAAGAGGATATGAGTTTATGCATAAAAGACCCTAAAAACTCCTTTAGAAAACTACAGCTGCCTGGCAGTGGTGGCGCACACCTTTAATCCCAACACTGGGGGGGGGGCGTGGCAGAGGTAGGCGGATCTCTGTGAGTTCCAGACCAAACTGGTCTACAGAGCAAGCTCCAGGACAGCCTCCAAAACAATATAGAGAAACCCTGCCTCAAAACCCAAAAAGAAAACTATTGCTGATAAACACATTCAGTAGAGTTGCAGGATACAAAATTAACATACAAAAATCAGTAGCTTTCCTACCTCCAACAAGTGTACCAAGAAAGAAATCAGGGACACACTCTCATTCACAATACCCTCAAAAGCAGTAAAACAGCTTGCAATAAATTTAACCAAGGAAGTGCACGTCTTATACAAGGAAACACTGGCTGCTTAGATGTGGGTTTGGGGATCGAATGCAGGGCCCTGTGCTTGCCTGAATGGCACCTTACCAGCTAAGCCATCTCCCCAGAGCCACCTCTATAGTCAACAGCTCTTGTTACTCAAATTAATTTAGCAGCTTCCTGTTGCACTCTCACAGGAAACGTAATGGGCTCATAACCTAGTAAAGGAGGCCTTGATGTGACATAATTCTGGAGCACTGGCCACAAAGGTCCCAAGAAGTTTAGGAAGGAAGAAGGATTCCTGTACTGCAAGTCACCCAGGACATCGTCACAACAGAATGGAAGGGTGAGCTGGGCCCAGCATGGACAGCCTGGAACCCTGGGAAGGCACTAGCATCAGTCAGCAAAAGCCTCCAGGTACCAACAGTGTAGGCAGGTCACTCACTTCAAGGAGACCAAAGAAACCACTGCGAGTCCGGCAGCCTTGTGGATGGCTTGGAGAGGATAGCGTCATCAATAGGTCCTGGAGGAAACCCAGAGTGACAGCCAGCCTGTTGAGCAGAACGCAGCAGCAGCATTTGCCACAGCTTGAAACATGTGCTTTCCATGAAGAACTGAGAGCTCCCTCCCCAAAGCCACCACCAAGCTGGAAGACCAACTTTGAGAGTGACAAACTGTGTCCCGTGGTTGCTGGAATGATTTGGGGTCTCTCTCAGGGACAGCAAGGCAGGAGGGGCAGGGGAACCGTGGATCTGAGTCCATCTGCCCCACCTCTATCTCCCCACCTCCCTGTCATCATCCCCTCTCCCTTCCTGTCCCTTCCTCCCAGGATTTGATGTCATTTGCTTTTTTCAGTGTGTTTTTATTTAAATTAGAAATGATTTTATTTTACATATCAGTCCCAGTTCCCCCTTCCTCCTATCCTCCCATGTCCCCCACCAATCCCTTCTCCCCACCAGTCCCACTCCCTATCCACTCCCCAGGGACAGTGAGACCTCCCATGGGGGACCATCAAAGTCTGTCACATGATTTAGGGCAGGGCCTAGGCTTCCCCCCCAACTCCCCACCATGTATTTAGGCTGAGAGAGTATCCCTCCATTAAGAAATTTTGTTTGAAGTTCATTTTTTGGTTTTGATTTTGTCACTTTTAGATAGAGTCTCACACCATAGTATAGTCTAACCTCAAACTCATGGTGATCCTCTGGGGTTCTGGAGTTACT